TGATCACCTTGCAGTCCAAGGGACTCGCAGGAGTCTTCTCCAGCACCACAATTCAAAGGCCTCAGTTCTTCGGCACTCAGCCTTCCTTATGGTCCAACTTTCACAGTCATACATTGTGCTTTGACTACACGTACTTTTGTCAGCAGGGTGATGTCTAGATTTGTCATAGCTTTCCTCCCAAGGAGCAAGCATCTTTTAATTTCTTGGCTGCAGTCACCATCTGCGGTGATCTTGGAGCTCAGGAAAGTATAATCTGTCACTACCTCCATTTCTTCCCCATCTATTTGCCAGGAAGTGATAGGACTGGATGCCATGATCTTAGTTTTCTTAATGTTAGTGACATAGTTGTAATTTTCCAAAACAGAATGGCCAAAATGCTTTAACTTTCTCCGCACAGTGTTTCAACTTCTTGCTGATTTTGATTATGTTGTTCTAGCTCTATCATATCTCATTGCTTATTTTATTTAATTCATCTGTCAGAACCAGTGTGCTGTGATAATTAAGAGTGCTGGGCAGGGAATCAAGATGTCTGGCTTCTTGTCCCCGCTTGACCATGACGTTCACAGCTGGACTTTGGGCCACTTGCTGTCTCTCAGCCTAACCTACTTCACAAGGTTGTTGTGAGTGTAAAATGGAGCAGAGGAAAACCTTGCAAGCGACTTTGGATGCCTCACAAGAGGAAAAAGTGGGATATAAAGGCAATGCATAATAAAAAGAAGCAGCAACAATAATTACCAACACCTTTTACCAGAGATTTAAAACAAAGTGAAATAAATATCATCAAAACACCCAGCAGATAACAGCACCACTAAAGCCAGAGTTTAAAAATAGCAGAATGCTTGTGTGAATCCATTTATTTATCTATCTATGTGTGCACAGAGATGGAAGAAGTTAATAATACACACAAAGAAATCTTTTCTGTAGAAATTTTGCAAATCCTCACTTATGAAGGGAGTAACCCCATGGCTTCTACACTTTATCTGAGGGGCTACAGGATAGTTGGGATTCCCCGACTCTGAAGCTGGAAAACCAATGGGGGGGGGGGCGGCATTCTAGTGGGATGGTGGAGAGAGATTGTTGCATGCAAACCAAGCAGACTGGCTTAGGCACAGCTTGCTGGAACGGGCTGCAGAGCCCCCCAGGAAAGAGAACCACCTGCTTGCTAGTCTGGCCTCCCTGCTCCCTCGGCAACCCTCCAATCCAATACATGACACTTGTCAACTTACTCCTTCACTTAGTGGTCTCCCTAAAAAGCCCTATTTTTCCATCTTTGGGGAAACTTATGCAAATTTAGCATTTATCCCACCTTCAGGTTCATTTAAATTTTTAAAAAAACTTTCAGGGAGGCTTGTACAATTTACAGTAACTACTGCACTTTAGTGAATTGGCATATATCACCCTTAAAGGTTTTTTTTTTTTTTTAAACTAAGTAGGTGAATTTCCCTGAAGGTGAAAAGAGCAATGTTAACATTTCTCTCCAACAGAGAATAAATTTTTCAAAACACTGTGTGGGAAAAGTGAAAACAAACCCCCCTTTCTCCACTCAATAGTGAGGCAAGCTACTGAGGCTGTGCCACAAAGGCTCATGGGATACAGGTCAAGAGAGGACAGGAATACTGAGAACGAAAACAAGCCACAGCCTGTGGGTAGATCATCTTCTGTGTGCCTGTTCATCTGCTGAGTGTTATACAGGATAGAGATTGAACAACCAGCTTGCTGTGACTTATTTTCAGTGCACTGTTAATTGTAATGTGGTCCACCAAGTTAAATAAAAGCTGGACTAGCACCATGTGCAAAGTATGCCTCTGTTTGCAACAAGCTGGCTACACTAGGACAGTGGTTTTCAACCTTTCCAGAGCTAGGGATCAGTGAAAACAGGAAAACCATCTTGGGACTGCTGAGGCAGAAACAGAAAGAACCACACACGATACAGTATTCTGTGTATTAGTTTCCAAACACAATACCAAAAAAATTAAAATTCTTCAAAACAACCAGAAACAGAGCAACAAAAAATGCCAACAAAAGAACAAAATACCCAAATATGTGCAGTGTGGCTGCTAGCTGGCTCCCACCAAGCTCTCTCCCCTCCTTGCCCCCCCTCCCAGTAACACCAGTGCACCCCCCTCAAATGCAATGCCGAGGAAGAGGTGGTGGAGTACAGTCAGCCCCTAGGCCGGTTCACAGTGAGCAGGATGTGTCTCCCCCCCCCCCCCCACAAAGACTGGCAGGAAACCTCCTGCAGACTGGTGCCAGTCCATGGACTGGTGGTTGAAAACCACTGCACTAGGATTGTAGTGGTGAGCCACCACACCAACACTGCCACTGCCAGGAGTCTCCACCTCCGGGCAATCTGGGGCGGGGGGGGAGGAAAGCACCCCCTGTGCTCTGCAAAATAAACATACTCTGACTCGGCACACGCTGACCCAAGATCTGGGGAAAATGGAAACTTTATTAAACTAACACACACACAGAGTCTGGAAAGGTGAAGGCACACACACACACACACACACACACACACACACAGGGAAGGGGAATGGGAGGCGAAGCTGGATAGCAGCTTACAACAGACAATCTACAAATTCAGGGACCCCCCCCAACCATTTGGCCACTCCAGACCTTAAAATAACAAACTAGCTGATCTAAAACCTAACAATCAACAACATACTTAATAGGTCTTCTCGGAAGCAATGGGCAGGACCTCCGACAGCAGGTGTCTCTTCCTCTGCCAAAGCATGGGACCCCACCTGGCCCAAGAGCCCTTCTTTTATTCCCCCTCCAAGCAATCAGAACCATTTGGTCCATGAGGTGACATCTCTGGAGCTTCCAGTTGTGATACACCCAGAGAGAGGATGTGACTGTCCTTGAGAATCTCCAAACATGGGCACCCTACTATTGAGCTGGTAAAAATAACTCCCTAAACAAACCATGGGAACCCTGCTTTGGGTCTTCCTTGCAAACCGTATACACCAAGCTTGAGAAGCAGCAGGCTTGCCAAGTGCTGCTACCTTTGATAAAGTTGTTAATGTAAACATGGGAAAAGCAGTTGTATGTTGGAAGGAAAAAAACAATGGAGAAAAGGGGGAGGGACCCTCATCTTAAATTTGGAACATGCTACAGGAAAAGAGATTTAACTATTAAAGTGCTTTAGATCAACAAATCCTCTTTGGTCTATAAGGGTAATGATAATGGATTTTCTCACCAACTTTAATTGTGAGGGGTCAAGACGATGAAGAATGATAAAAAAATGTCTCCATTTGGCTCTTCCTCTCTGCCCTTGAACTGTGAAAAGAACTTGTCATGGGGTGAGTGGAGGATGTGCAACCGCAAGAGATCTGCCACTTGCTTAAAGGGGTTGGAAGCACTCCCAAGTTATTATGGAGTATGGTAACAACTTGGGAGATGAAAGCTGAAATCAAATAACATCACACAGGAATTGGATCATTTAGGGTGCAAAGGTACTCAATGTGCCCTCAGGGCCCATAAACCCCTGAAAGCAGCTTATGAGCATCTAGTGTAAGCTGGGAGGAGCAGCAGAGGCAAATCTTCCCTTTCTTTCTACAGTGCAATTCAGCTAAATGGCACATCTAGGCCATCTTAGCTGCAGCACTGGGGAAGAGGATGGAAAGAGTAATCACCTGGATGCCCCAGTCTTTTCCCTTTTTCAGCCCCCCTCTCAGCCCCAATCCTAGATTTTCCAACCTCAGAGAAGCAGCCAGTGTGATTCTGCATCAGCAGCAGGAGGAAAGGGCATGGATTCTCAGTCACTTGGTTGAAACTGTTTCTTACTCTCAGATCTGGAAAGGTAAAGAATCCCATGGCTCTCAGATGCTTTCTAGGGGCCACAGGACTCCCCTTTTCATCAAGAGTAACCCTGACACTCCATTTCTACCTGTAATCATAAATTAAACACGCTCAAATGCAAAAAGGAGTATCTCTACTGTTGCCTTCTTTATCTCATTCATGCTGAAGAAAGAAGTAAACAACATGAATTTGAAATATTTGCTTGCCTGCTCTTTGTATCTCTGATAGCCTATTTTTGAAATAACATCAGAATATCTTAAAGTTTTATTAGGCATAAACTACCTACTCTTGAACAGCCATAAAAGCAAGATGACAAGAAAGCCAGAATGGTGCATCTTTTCCTCACGCAAGCCTTGAAATTGTTCCAGCAAAGGGACAAGGATGGTACAGAATGCATTTTGAATGCTATTGTTAGCCACAGTTAAGTTTCTTACTGAACAATTTTTTTATCTAGGGTGGTTGTACTTTTAGCTATGATTTATTTATTTAGGATATTTTTATCCCATCCTATACCAATTGTCTCTAGTTATTAATGATAAATTAACATGTGATATTAAAGTGAGGGAAGGGCATATAAAGAAAAACAAGTTTAATGACATTTGGGGTGTATTTATTATGTCTTTAAAAAGGGGAAAGGATTTGAGCCAGCAAAAGAATCACTACAGTTTTGGAAGGGGGGAATGTCCTGAAATGGTTGAACAAGGTGTTTTGTTTTTAATTATTTGTAACATGTATCACTGGTCCTGATGGTTGGGGGTGAGAGACACCATATTGTAAGAACTATTTTAACTGTATGTTTTATATGTTTTTTATTTTAAATGTAATGCTTTTTGGTTGTATTTTAGATAGAAAATTAATTTTTAAAATTTAAAAAAGAATGGCTGTACTTTTTATGGATCCTTCAGCCCAAACTGAAGCTACAGTTCAAGCCAAGTGACTTTTTTAGGCCACTGAGGAAAACTGTTGGACTGTGCTTGGCCTTGTTCAGCATAATTTTTAGATTTCATATATCAAGGTTTTTATTTTTTACACTGTTATAATTGATAATATGATATGATTCTAACCCTATTTCTGTTAAACAGTCCTGCACAGAGATATACATTTCTCGTATCTCTTGACTTTGATTGAGCTAAGCCATAAACTTTTCTGGCAAAGTCTAGTAGTGCAGTCGCTCCTGGGAGATGACACTGACAGAAATGTATTTTTAAAAGGCTTTATTATAGACAATCCTGCTCTTCTTACAATGTGATAGCTACACACAATGAAACACACTAGTCACTGGTTTTGTGCAATTGTTACAGATTTTGTGTTCTCTCACTATAGTAAGTCATGAACTTAGAACACTTACACGTTTGTTAATCTCTTACAAAGAAAATGTACAAGCAAAACACCCAGAAACACATACATGTGAGATAAACATAAGCAGTCAACAAAATTCCTGAAGTGTATAAGATTCCATTTGTGTATAAATATGATTTAATAAAAATGATTTATTTCATGTGCATCATAAATGCATTTTGGTTTCTACACAGATCAAGTCAGAAGCTACAACTCAAATCTTCAACTACTAGGTGAGACAGGATCCTATAAGCCAGATTAGTCTGCGGACTGCAGCAGCCATGAGCATCATCAAATTAATTTGCTACATATCATTTAGGATACAGGCAACTGTACGTTAGAAGACAAGCAGAATGACCATGTTCTCTGGGTTCCCAACAGAACCACACAGTGATTTAATGTATGTATTAGTAAACAAGACAATCTAGTGCATAGAGACTCACCATTTAAAGGTGCATCAGTTCCAGTGTTTTCCATAGTACATTAATATGTGTATATATACCGGGGGGGGGGTGGGGGGGGGAGAGACAGCACCTCAACTGCTCCACAGTGCAGATGCAGGCGGGGAAAGGCTAGGACTTTTAACAGGCCTCTAACATACTGCAACAGTCACCAGAACAGGGGATTGAGGCATCCTGCATTTAAGCAGCAGCTGTTTACCAGATCCAAGAACAGACTTCCAGATTAGCAAAAAGAACCTGACACTGTAAAATAACAGAGGGAGGTGTCTACTGCATTTTCAATAAGGCTTGAGTTCAGAGAAACACACACACACACACACACAAATTTTTCCAATTAAGACCAAAATGAATGCTTAGCTATAGAAGCTTCCCAACGAAAGGCTCTGTGCAGGCGGAAAAGCCCGTGTGTGTGTGATACAGAGGCCATGAAGAACAGGAGGAGCAAACCAGCATGCATCATGGGATGCATCCATTGTCAGCCTAATGTACATTCCAGACAATTAACATTGGGTAGAATCGTCTGTGGTTCAGCATAATTCCTGGATTTGAGGGAGGGCAAGAAGAGGAGGGCATGATGAAAACGTCCTTGTGGTCTTGTAGGCACAAGAGCAACCATATTTGGCAATCTTTCCCTTTCGTTACACCAATGGATTTTGTTCTTCTCTGCTGTCAGCATCTAGAAGACGTCTGAGACAATATGTAGGTGGCTCTGTGCTTTGAGAAATCATGACTTCCAAAGTCACCTCGTTTCAGTAGTGAAACACATTCTGTTCATCTCTTAGGGAACATGGGATGAGGGCAGTAAGGGGGGAGAAAGCATCACACACAGCCATATTCGTACCAAACAGTCTGCTGATCACCATGGGGATCAGGTGATGTTGGCGGGTTCTTGGGGCCAACCCCTCTGTTGGCTTCTTCAGTGACCCCTGCTAGGCTTTTATTTTCAGGTGACCGACTCCGACATTTGGCAAAGGAAGTGTCGCTCGGCCCCAGTGCTTGGGGATTGCCCCCCTCTGTGCTGCCAGAAACAATTCTGACAGGAGCCACGGTGGCCACTTCTCCAGGCCGCAATGCCAGCTTAGATTTGATTCTGGACGCAGCATACTGGGGAAGGGAACAGTGCTGCTCTGCACCCTTCATGTGTTCCTGCGTCTGAGAGTTCAGATCATCCTTGGACGTGGTGGGAGTGTATGAAACTGGAGGGAACAAGGGTGATCTGTCATCTTTTGGAGGAGCTAGAGAGAGCCGCCGAACATCAAGCTGTCGACAGCGAGAATCCACACTTTGCAAAGAACCCGACACCTTTGCAGACTGCGGCCTCTCTCGCAGAGAGACTTGAGAGCCAGAAGCTAAAGGGACCTGGAGAGGCTGAGGCCTGTCGGAGTCCTGACCCGTTTGGATATCTGCTGTCACAGGCTTCGGGAGGCTATCATAGCGCCTGTATACCTCTGGCCCAGTGGCTCGAAGGAGGTCTGCTGAGGCCAGGCTGAATGCACGGTTTAGAGATGAGCTATGCCGACTCATGCTGCTGCATTGCTGAGGCTGTGCCCCCTGCCTTGGTCCCCTGCTGGCCTGACTCTGAGATGCTTGAGTAAGCTTGTAGGAACCAGCAGGGTTTGCTGGGGGCTCTGATTCAGCTGGCCTGAAGTTTGGTTTGACATAATGGCCTGGCTTAGCTGACCTTCCATCTTCGTTAGTACTGGGCATTTTGATGGTTGGCGTGACATAACTGGTTGGCATCTTGGTTGCCTCTTTCCGATTGTTCTGAGAAAGCTGATTTCCAACAGATGAAGATTCGTTCGCTTTTCTGAAATAGTCACCCAACAAGTCATCTCTATTGGAGGTTTCCTTTAAAAACAAATAAAAGGATTTAGAGCTAAAAAAAATGCCTTAACTCTACATTTGCACATACAAATTTAGGTTTCTATGAAATCACACAAAAATATGCTTCAGGTAGTTTACTCATAACCAAAATGATAGTGCAAATTAGTTTTAATGGGCTGCCAACACCAATTTATTCACAAGCACTCACAGTGCAAAAGGTGCATTATTAGTCATACCCATGAGTGAATTTACTTACAAGTGGGCACACAAACACACCCTGCAATGCAAACGTTTTGGGAGGGGTAGCAGCATGGTCAGGGGACAACTGGGAAATCTGGGTTCTCTTCTTCACTGGGCCATGAAGCTCACTGGGCCAGTTGACCTAAGCTCCATCACAGGATTATGTGAGGTTAAAATGGGAAGAAGGATTAAGTAAGCTGACTTGGGTTCACATGAGGGAAGAAAGTGGGATATAAATTTAATACTATAATTTAAAATGTTTAAAACCTAGAATGTTTTTAAAGAGCAGTGCTTGTGCAGTCACAGTCATAGGACTGCCTTGTGTAAGATTCCAAGCGGTTTCTTATGAATATCAGAGAAGCAGTGCATAATTTGCAAACCTTCACTGCAGGGGGCAGAGACCTGACCCAATATGATCACTTGGTTTTAAAAAGTTATGATCCTATTATCAGAGAAAAGTAACATAAACATTGATTTCTCTACTGAGTTGCATGTAGAACATAAAGAGATTACCCATGTCCTGTTGGTGGCCCACGGCATAGATTTAAAATAGCCATGTGGAAATCAGCAAAATATAAACCAGCCACCCTCGACACACACCCTTTAACTCAGCACAAATGGGCAGTATCTTGCCTGATGGAAACACTGAATTCGGGGAATTTAGATTTCCCCCCAAGGACTACAGATGTCATACACTCATCTACAGTGGTACCTCAGCTCACAAACACCTCAGTTCACGACCAAATCGGGTCGCGAACAAAAATTTAAGAAAATTTTTACTCGGGTAGTGAACTCTGCATTGGGTGACAATCGTGCCCATCTCCCCACCCAGCGTGCCCGTGATTGCGCCCATTTATGGCTGTGCTCATCTAGGGAACATTGGTGTGATCGTGCTTGTGCTTGGGGGTGAGGGGGGGGGGAGAGATGGCTGCAATCTTGGTTGTTCTTTGTCACTTTTCTTCAAAAAAATAGTTACAGAATGGATTAACCTTATTACATTGACCCTTATGGGGAAATGTGACTTGGCTCATGACCAATTTGGGTCACGACCAGAGTTGTGGAATGGATTAAGTTCATGACTCCAGGTACCACTGTAGCTCTCCTGACAGTAATTTACACACCTTATTGTGTTGCAACACTGCTTCTTGTGGGATATTAATCTGAAACAGCATAGGGTATTTCAGTGGATATTGAAAATGAATTCTAATGGAATGATGGAGCACTATCCTTCCATTTAATATTAATCAGTATAAATTCTACTACTGGATTCAACACACATATCAAAACTAATGGAATTCAAGGCCACTTCTCTTAGTAGATCTATTCATTGCATGTCATCAATTCTGATCCCACCACAGACAGAAGTTTGTTCTTACATTCAGGGGAGACAGCCTGTTACTTTCTTCCAGGAATTCTTCCAAGGTTACCATCTCACTGCCCGGAGAGGCGGATCGGTTCCTAACAGACGGCACCTGGGCTTGGTTACTTTTTGGAGGTATATCATACGAGAACAAGTTGTTCCTTGTAAGGGAGGTACTGTGCTTAGTGTTTGAGCCCGCAACAGCAGAAGAGGTGGGATAAAACAGGCCATCTCTAGATGACCCAAGCACATCCTTACTCAGCACTGTATCTTCACTGCTGAGACTCTCTGATCTGCCACGAAGATGGTCCCAAGATCCTGTGTCAGGGAATTTAGAAATATCAGAGTTAACTGTCTTTTTTCTTTTACTCAATGAAGAAGTTTTCTTTGAGTGCTACCAAAATATGCTTCCAAAAAGCAGGGGACACTCACAGCTAGTGTAACTCACTCACTCACAGGTAACTTTTGACACTGGATTTAACTATTCTATAGCTGCAGCTCTCTAGGTTCTGATTTGTGTGTGTTGGGTTTAGCGTCCATGCAATTTGGACCCAAGCAGAACTCCAGCTGGATCACTGGACATTTTGGTCATACGTTTGAACACTGATCTTGAATGCAAACCACATGCTGAGCACAGTGTGGTACCATGCACTCCTTTCCTATTGGGATTAAGGTTCACTGCACTAAAATTTCAGTGCAGTGGCATTTTACTGGACTATAGTATACCAGACCTTACCTCTCAAGTTTAAAGGGGAGCTGGTCCTGGATGCATTTTCACTATTCTCTAAGCTGTTTGGCCTGGAAGCTGAGGAAAAAAGAGGTAGAGGGACATTAAAGAATCTAAAAGGAGCCTCACACCTCAAGTTGAACCAAATTAGAAAGAAAAATGCAAAATTCTATCTAGAATACTCTCACTGCAGAACAAGAGACTTCTTCATTATACTTCAAAGGACTGTCCTCTCTGTTGTGACTAAGAAATATAGAAATTAACTTACTGTGCTGCTTGTTTGAAAGCTCTATCTCAGGGGCATTTTCTTGCAGATCAGTATCTGAATTATGGCCTTGAGAGAAAAATGCAAGATACAAGGAGGTGATGCTCAAGACAGATGGCTAAAACCAGCCATGTTCTAGTCACAGCTCTGAACCTTATCAATGGTATATGACAATACAAGAAGATCCAAAGTTTTGTTGCAAAAATCTATCTGTTTTAGGAGGAGTCACACAGTCTAATGGCACTTAAAAAGTCTGACAAAAACGCTGACTGATCGAGGGATTCAAGAGTGCACATCAGCAGGGCATAGGATGGAAGCGTGGGGTAGTTGGAAACTGTTTGGAATGCTTAACACTTAGCAGGAGAGGTTTTCCAATAAATGTTCTCAAAACCACTCTTTCTATGCCATGCAGCTCCAACAATGTGCACAGAGCCATGTAAATATTTGTCAGCTTTTTGGAAAATGGGGCAGCACACACATTAATAAAATAAATGTAGTAAAGAGGGTAAACCATGGGAGATACGTTTGATTGTAACTGAAGCAGAAGGAAAAGCTTTCCTATACAATATCGCACCCCAGGCTTTTCCCACCCGGCACCCTCCAGAAGTAGACTAAAACTCCTATCTTGCCTAGCCAACAGTTCAACACATCTGGAGAGCACCAAGGCATAGCCCTTTTTGGTGTTACAGTCAACTGTACACCATGCCAAGTACTTAAAACATGTCTTTAAAGCTACTGTCTAACCATCACCCATCTAAAGGAGGAAAGTCCTTTAGGCATTCTGAAAAATTGAAAGCTGAATCACACATTGTATGTCCTACTGTTTTCCTGCTCCCATGCAAATGCTGTACTCAACTGACAAGTATAATGCATTAACTCATGGGATAACATGGCAACTTCCATGATCAGGGAAGTAAGAAATGAAAGCAATGCATTGCAGACTTCCTTTCTTCTGAACACGAAAAATGCTTCCTAAATAATAAAGTACACTGAAGCAGAAGTCCCAATGCCACACACCTTTAGGTCTGGTTTGTTGTCTGGAGCTGGGACTAGAACCTGAAGTGGCCAAGTAAGTTGCTGAGGCAGAATACGTCCTGGAACTTGGTTCGACATAGCACTGCTTAATAGCAGAGTCTGTTGCATTTTCCATGTGGTCACTGCTGCCTCCATAATGAGAGATTCTCTTCAGCTTTGAATCTGTTAATCATGTGTGGGAAAAGATGGAAAAACAGAGAGAGAGAGAGAGAGAGAGAGAGAGAGAGAGAGAGAGAGAGAGAATAAAGCTAGACACAAAACAACGGCATAGACAATATATTTTGCAAGCTACATCATTATTTTTTTCAGAGTTTATGTATTTATGCTGGTTTTTGCAAGCAGATGTCAGCCCATAAAGAGGTTCATAAGTAACAAAATATAAAGAAAGGATGTTCTACATCTAACATGAAAATGGAGGAGCCATACATCAACACAGGGGGAGAGTTGGTGCAACACCTTTAAGGCTGTAAAGCTATGCACATTTGGGAATAAGCCCAACTGAACTCACTGGAATTTATTTCAAATAAACTTTCATAGGATCAAGTTCCTCAATTGTCATTTACTTCAGTTTAAAAATAAAAAGGAATTCAAGTCTGATGTTAATAGAACAGAGTTTGGCCCACAACAGCCAGTGCAACATATCGCTCCTATAGTAAATCATGCTATTTTGGGAGCTCCTTTTATAATACACTAACTTTCAACATGGTATTTAGTTGGGCTGGGAATTTCATTCTTGCATTTTAAGCTGCCTCTCAAACCATTACTTGCCAAAATTATTTGCTGCAGTAGTGAGAAAGAATTCATTAAATAATACAGGGCCTTAAATGTCTCAAGACACCCAAGGGAACAAAAGAAAGACATGGGCAGATTCATTGTTGTTGCTTTTTTAATTAGCTCTGATGAGAAGCAAAATTCCATGTTTCTAACTGATCTCTAGAGCAATACTCCCAAGCAACGGCACTGAATTCCTGAAAAATAAGTAGGATGTGGAACAAGTAACAAATTGCTGGCACATACAACAGAAAAGGTAAAGTAGCACTAAAGACAGATTAGTTACGAAGTGTATTAAAGAAAGTCTGAGGAAAGCATAAGGAAGTGATGCTGTTTATCAAAAGTGATCTCTGTCTACATGTACGGTACAAGAACAAAATGTATGTGCTGCTATAGAATGAACAGGAAACTAGGTATCCGATGTGTCCCACATTTTGGCTGCTCATGGAACCACCCACCCAAACACAGCCATGGGACTTGCTAGCCAGTATTTCTAAGCTATGCTTCCAAAACAAAAAAACAAAACAAAACATTCCCTCAAAAGTAATATTCTGTTACTCAAAAGGGAAAAAGTAAAAGTGCAACCTATTTATACTTTATAATAATGTGCTATGTGTTATCATGCAATCCAGCTGTGAAGAGAGAGGAAAAACAGATTTAGCGAATCTGTGCCTGCCAGGCTAAATACAAAATGGCTTACCCTGATGTACTGCCTTGTGGTATTTATGTCAGCTTGATAAAAGCAGCTGCAATAGTGTTTGTTCGCTATGCATTGCAGTGGTGCTCATTTACTGATACTGAAACCAGTTTTTACTGCACATTTTGATATTACACAAAATATTACACAAAATGTGTTTTCGAAAAGCAGGAGATGTGCAATAAGGTATCCAATTATTTGGGAATTACAAACTCAATCACAGGTGTCGCTGTACGTCCATGACCACACTGCAACATTATCAGAAAATAGACAAGCAGCATATTGCGAACAACAGGTCCTGCAAAAGCTCTGTAACATCGAGGGAGTCCCTAATACAGAATAAGCAAATATTCAGGGCAACGCATTGTCAGCAACATAGCAACAGCAGTTCATTTCCACGTTGGGACAGGACAGGAGGCACATCAGCGGCTGCAAGCGTTAATGAAGCACACAGCAAGTTCACTTACTTAAGAAGTGCACCACCGCCAGAGCACTGTAAGCAGATGGGCACTGTATGTCATGGCTCTCATTAAAGTGTGCTGCACTGAAGACATGATCCAGGTTGTACAAGAAAGGTCCTTCATCTTATGGAGGGGGGAAAGTTGTCCATGCCGACTTGATCTGTCCTTGGATTTAGTTTGTATCACTGATATGGTGACCATCTGTGACTCTGTGTGTGTATATGTATGTATGTACGTAGAGAAGTTACAGGTTTGAGTTTAAAACATCAGAAATGCAATGGAAATAAATGATAAGAGAAGGTGTTAGAGGTCTCCCGTTTCCGAGAAAGAAAGTGGCTCATTAGGAGAGGATGGGATGTCAGAAGACGACCAGAACCAGAAGCGATTAGAGAGAGACTGGTGACTCGATGGAGACTTTTCTTTGGGCTTGCTTGTGCTTCTCAAAAAGGCAATCTTTTTGCGTTGAGCAGCTAAGTGTTATCACCCAGAGATCCCGAAAAGAAGAAGAAAAAGTAAAGAGAAATAACTAAAATGTATTTCAAAAAACTAAGACACCAGCTAAACATGAAAACTTATTTCTACAGCAGCCACTAAATTAGGCAAAGGGTTAGGTAAGAAAAATGCACAGCAGCAACTTCTAATAGCTATGTTTAAGCAAACGATGTAACTTCATACAAATGACACATTTGTTATTTTCTGGAACAGTAACTTCAAAATGGCCCTACATTTTAGCAGTCGAAATCTGTATTTCTTAATCAATCATCGTATATAGGAAATGCATGCATTATTCCTCAGAATTGATGTTTTCAGGGGATGTTATAAATAACATTATAAAAATATCAATACAAAAATGCAAACAAAATATTAAAAAGTGGATTTAGGTGCCAGATTGTTAACATGTATACAATATATACATGCAAAGAACTCCCTGTGTGATAAAATGAATTATGGTCAACATAAGGGATTCATGCCAGTTTCTTCACAAAATGGGATGAACTGTGAAGTGCTTAAAAGTGGCTTTGAACTCAATGGGACTTAAACACATCGTTAAGCACTCAATTCTCGTAAATTTCCACTAAGATCTAGGGCTTGGTATCCCCTTAAGACTGTTTTGGTCAAATCCTAGCACCTTCTGTCTCTCTCAAATCCAGTATGTTGCCACATACATCAGTGCAACTGATGACTGAGTTCTTCTAGAAATATTTGTATAGCTCAAAAACACTACATGCAAAATATTCATGGGTAGTTCAGCAATTTTATTGTTGCCTTGTAATAAATGTAATTTTTCAAAAACTTTTGGAAGTCGCTTTTACCTGTATAAATCAACTATTCATTAATGTGGTCCATTTTTGTACTGAGAAACAGGTGCTCATAAAAGGAAAAGCCACCAGCCAACACAATGTCTTATGATAACAATTCTTCTTATTGTCCAGATCTGTGCTGTGTTTCTTTGCCATTTGCTCCCTCTGGTGTTCCCAAGTCAAAGCACATCTTCAAAGTTCATAAGTTGATAAGCTATAGGATTTTTACTGATCCATTTTCTTTGTGGACACTTACCAAAAACTAAATAATGCATCTAGAAACACGGCTTATTAGGTAACATGTAATGCATGCAGAAAACAACCCTTTGGTTGGCATTACACACGAACTGGGTAAATGAACTCCACCCAGTAAAGGCTGGAGACAAATGGTTTTTATATTTTCAAAAATACCAAAGAGCTATTATATTTTCTTTCACCCAACATTTTTAGGCTTATAGGACACCTGGTCTAAACCTGAGTCCCCTTTTCCATTCTACCTTAAGACTGCTACCATGCAAACTTAATTTTTAACTTTCTCAATGTGGACTTGATTTTCCCCTTTTCCTTCCCAATGCAAGCTTATTTTGGTCATACCTTGCCTGACAAAGGTATCTGGAGATCTCAAACGCTTACCCATTTTGTGCATATTTGTTTACAATATCTAATTTTACTTAGAGTGTACATCAAAAAAGCTAAGTTTCACACACATACTCCGTTCAACAAAAAGGTTTGATTGACCTCCAAATGGTTCCAAAGAGCAGGGGCATGACAGAAGGAGCCCTGCTCCTTGTTCAGAACAACCTAGGATCAACAACTTAGAGGAGTCAGAGCTTGGTTTAATGACCTGTGAGAAATCCAGCTTGGGGTAGGAATCTGTCAGATTTCCTTGGCTCAGCTCCTACAACTCAGGGCAGAGGGCAAGCAGGCCAAAGTTCACCTCGTGTGAAGCATTTTTAGGTGTGTTTCGGCAGGAAGCAAGTCCAAGGACAGTTTGTGCTCATGCTGCCTGCACAGCCACTGTGCAAGCAGAGCTCTGCTTCTGCACACAAGACTTGTGGGCTTTCCATACTTTTCTAGCATTCCTGCACATTCATGGACTTAATCTTGGCTTGGCTCCCTTCCTGGCCAGGACCAAGCACAGGAAAGAAGAGGTCAGGTGAATGAAAACCAGCTGGATTCCAGCCAGATCTTCACTTCTGTAGCTGGGCTTCATTGACAAATCTCAATGCCCTGGAATATCAGCACTATGCTGACCCTGCACTATCTGCACAGTTTGAAAAGCAATGGATGCCACCTTAATGTAGTCTGCATCTTAAAAAAATCATTAACTCTGCGTTGTACAGAATCATCTTCATTCTTCTCAGCCTGTATAAATGTGCACTTATTATCATGGTGATCACCACAGAGTGATATGCTGGGGACCCAAGACCACCCCAATGCCTCACCAGTCCCCTGTATGGAGCACCTTAAAATACCAGAGACAAGTTCTAGGAGACCACTGTGTACTCTTCTCAAGGGCCGCCTGAACTCTAGCATAATGCTGTTCTGCCTACTTTTCTCTACTTCTGCTAATCAGTGAAAAGAACAAAGCAGTATTCGTTTGCACAGAGACCCTGGCTTGTCCCCGGTGAAATCCCTACTAGCATCCTTCACAGAACAGCTGTCCTCTTCTACCTTTCCCTTTTCCCTTTCAGGATGTATAGGACTGGGAAGGTGTCTGCTACCCCTGGCTGCAACCACCATGCATTCAGGTGGGAGGTGCAGAAATGCACAGGCTTTTGCATGAACGTGCGATCAAGGTTCCTAACATGTCCATCTACAGCTGCATATGCTCATATACCCATGCTCTGCCCTGCCGCCTTGCATACTTTCCACTCAATGTTCAGAGGTAGGGTCCAGCAAGTATGATGCTAATCCCATGTTTACTTGATGTGTCAAGGAAAGAGAAGAACAAGTCTAGTCTGTCTTGCACAGCATCCCCTTTGGTCCATTCAGTAAGCAGAGCTCATCACTTGTGTGGAATCAGAACATATTACTCTTCCTTCAATTTCCATAAGGTGACTTGTCTACTTGGCTGCTTTGCTCATCTAGGCTCCTAAACATTGCTTTCTTAAAATGTCTATGGAAATGCATCTTACCCTGTTCATTAAAAGCTGTGCTTTAACTCTTCCCTCCCATAGTTTCAATGGCACAGGGAAGTGCCCATCTTTGGCTGGATCTTAACTTTCTCTTAGCAAGCAAAATGTGCCAAACTAATCTAACTGCCATGAATCTTCCAAGCTGATTAACTACACCTTACGTCCAACCGCACTTACCTTTGCCATTATGATGCTCTCCAGTAATATTTTCTCTACCTTCCATGGAGTTTGACTCCACAGAGGTGCTCTCCAAACTTTCTTGTGGCTTGGGCAGCTGTGAAGGCGATGGGGACCCTGCAGTCTCTGTGCTCTCTGAATGCCATGAAGGGTTCTCTGCTGAAGATTTCAGGTGTTCTCTTGCAGTATCCTTCTTTGGCTTTATAAGCTTAACCAAGGCTCTGGCCCCTATCCAGTGGTTCTTCCTGTTATTGGCAAATATTAGCAAGGAAGGATCAGCAATCATTTTGTTCTTCAAGTATTTGACACAGTACAGAACTTTCTTAATTTTCTAGCTCTCCTCCTTAAACAGCACTGCAAAATAGCCTGGAAGTCTGTAAACTAACTAGGAGTTTGATGAGCCAAGCGGGCTTGTGCAGAGCTGGCATTATAAAAGTCACTGCAAAAAGGTCCATCTGTGAAATACAGATTCAGAGAATTTGTTGACTGTATTAAAACCTTTCAATTTCTGTTACAATCAGAATTCCATTTTCAAAAGTGGCTGCATATCCCAAGCTTTATTAAGCATTATCTGTCAGAAATGCTTCTGGGAAAAAATACAAGAATTTTACAGAGCACAACGTATTTTTAATGCTGAGAAAGAAATAGCAATCAATTAGAGAGTTTGTTTACAAGTTCCCTCCACATGCATAAGGGACATTTTCTGTGTAAGACAGGACTGCACATGCATAATTTTATCTAGAGAATACTTACTTTTTTGGAGCTGGATCATAAAATTTATACTGATCCATAATTTTCTCCTCCAGTTTTTCTTTGTGTCTCCTTAAGGCATTTAGCTTATCACTGTTGAAAACCAAAGAATACCAGGAAAAACCATTAGCACTGGCAGGAAATTGGGCATAATAAATAAATTGAACTACTGCAATTTTCCAGAAGGAAAGTCAGTATCTCTCAGCGCAAGATCTGCAGTGATGAAAAACCCTTTTCAGGCAGTAACTATTAAATGACAGTGGTAATTAATATTAGGATTAAGCTTTTCCACAGCCTAAGTTGCAAGAATAATCAAAGAGGTAAGACAAACTGGAACAATAGATGGCAAAAGAAAAAGGGGACAGCAGAGAATGAGGTGGCTAGATGGAGTCATTGCAGCAGTCGGCGTGAGCTTAAGTGGACTCCGGGGGAGGACAGGAAGTCCTGGAGGAAGGTTGTCCATGGGGTCGCGATGGGTCGGACACGACTAACAACAAGACAAACAAAAACTCTAAAATGCTACAAACTTTGGAAAATTTGGATTTATTTCATATTTGGCAGGCTACATTTTTATATTCCATGTCACCAATGACAGCCTGCTCCATCTTATGTGTTACTACATAAACCTGTTGAGAGCAGAGTACCTCTTTAGCTTCTATCTACTGTATGGCATACAGTATGCAATGAGAGGGTTGCTCTTACATATATTGCTTCTGTTCTTCATGGTATTGTTCCTTGTTCTCCATGTTCTGCTCCAGCAACATTTGGTTCTGCTGACTCAGCATCTGGATCTGACTTAGGAGATGATGATTCTCTTCTTCTAGGTTTCCTTTCAGTCGAGCAAGAAGCTATATGACAGACATACCACAAGTGAATGTTCTTTGCCTGCATTTGCCTTTGTGTCATTAAACAGTCACAGAAAAGTATAAATCCTTATTTATTGTAAACCCAGCTCAACATCTACACTGGCTAATCAGTTCATTGAATGGCAAATCCGCTAACACTAGCCATCTCCATTTAGCGTGCTTAAGATGAACAAGCATAATTATATCCCACTGCAATCAAACCAAATTTGAGAGAGACCAAATTATACATGATGGGAGGTACAGTCCAGCCTGGTTCATACTGAAGCCCTCCAAACCAAGGGGGCTTTAAAGCACTGTTTATGAATCTAAACTTTTAGCCTGCCCTCAGCCCTCCCTGACCCCAGCACACTGCACCGAAGTAGCAGTGCTGAGGAACTGAGGACATGAAAGCGCCTTCCTGCCATGGGTTATCAAGGTACCCAGAATCCATGATCTGTCATAGAATTCTTGGTCCTTGTTACCCACAGCAAGAAGCCACCTCAGCTGGGCCTGCATGATTCTGGTGAGGGTAATTATGTGTATCCCAGCAGCATGTGAAGAGAGGATGGAGGTGGGGTAAAAAGCCATGACGAATTATGTGATTGCACAAACCCCATCAGAAAGTACAGCTAGGTGGACTGATTTTACACTCACAGCCTGTGACCTCACCTCACAGTGGTTGTCCAATTTGGTCAAGGAGAGGTCCATGTTTTGGTGCTGTTCCTTCAGCTCATCATAGCGAGCTTGCCAACGATTCAGTTCTAGCTGAGAATTATTCAAAGATGTTTTCAACTCCTTAGTGTGGATATGAAGGCCTTCATACTCTGCTTTGAGTTTGCTGTGTAAGAAATTCACCCTAAAATAGGAAAAGCAAAACACCTCACATCCCTAATCAAATCTGCAATAGCAGTGCTAATATTAGTGAATGCCTTGATAAGATTTAAATTCTCAACAAGCACGAAGGTTAAAGTTTTTGCCTTGCTGAAGAACAGAAATTCAGTACTTTTGAAAAATCATGAAGTTTTTCAATCATTATTAGCAATGCTAAAGAAAAAGACTTATCTTTTTTTCTTTTAACAAAAAATGAGTGCCACAAATTTAGCAAATTAGGTTTGCTCATATTAATATAGTTGAGGGAGACTACAGGTTTCTACAGGAAGGCTTGTTTGTTTTCAAAGGAAGAACGTAGCTTAATACTCCTTCATTCAACATAATAAATGCTGGTTATTATGCCCTGCCCAAAATAATTACTGCAGCTATGAGTGCTTTAAAAATAGTACAGGCATATTTTTCCTATTTATCTAAATTATCATACGATCTGAAATTTCTATGATTCTTTGGCCCTATGGTGTTTAGTATTTTAATAAATTTATATCCCACTTTTGCATTAAAATGGCACGAAAGGAGGCAGAACATTTCCAGTGTTTCCATACTTTTACCTGTGATTAGGGTTGGGTGAAAATTCAACAAGGAAAAATGCAACAAGGAAAAGACATATAATGACATCATCATCTACATAAAAGTGAAAATACTATACTGGTGTTGTCTTTCAAAACTTTACAAGTCATTGCCTCTGCACTGTACCGCACAGGGAAGATGCCTATACACATTGATATTGAAAAATTAGGGAAACATGGGAAAGAAGAGAGGAAGGGAACTTGAGCATGGGGACACACAGCAGTTGAGCAATACAGCTATGCTACTGTTGGTGCTAGACTATACATAGCCTAACATTCTGAGAATTGAAGGATGGCATTCTGGCAGACCCACAAAGGGAGTGTTTGCATATCATGTTTTTATATATTCCCAGCTGTGATATGGGATCAGCTGTTTCCCCAAATGCTTGCAAAGAGGACCACGTCACTTCTGCAAAAGCGTACCTTTCCAACTCTTCTCTCAGCTTTTGGTTCTCTGCAGTCACCATCATGCTTGCTCTCTTTTCCTGTTGCAGAACATCTTTTTCTGTTTTTAAAATCATCTCCAGCTCTTCCAGTTTGGCTTTGTGCTGTAACAAGCTGTTATAGCTAAAAGAAAGAAATCAGAATGGCTTCAATTTTGGCTTACTGCTTCTTGTTATAAAAGCAAGAAAATAAGCCCTTTTTCTTTGTATCAGTAAATTCCAGGGGTCTGGCATGCATAAAGGACAATTCAGTCAAAAGGTAAGCACTCCATCCATGAGACAAAAAAGTGTTACGTTGACTGAACTGTGCCCAGCTCACGTAAATGTATTAAGGTTCATTTTATGCATCTAACCTTAAATGCAGACATGGATGCGTTGGAAGCCAAGAGAGACAGATAGAAGTACATTAAATAAGATAGCTATATCAATATCAAGATAACTGAATCACTGAGATAATCATGTGACCATGTAGCTTTTGCCTGCTGATTCAATAAATGACTCCTGCCCAATTTAGGCCTTGTGCACGTGCATAAGAGGAAGGGGGCTGTGCATGTTAGCCCTACCCCTAATGCCCTGATTTCATCGTGCTGAATGGAGAAGTCTGAAGGGGATTCTACCTGCCTTTTCCTCAAGTCAAGTAGACTCCTTCAAGCTGCCATGACCCCTACAGGGATCCCAACTGTGCACATGGTTCTACTCAAGTAGTAGCCCCCAGAAACCAAGTGGGAGGGAGCCTAATCCCTCTTAGCCACAGTCCAATATCCGATCCTGGCTCTACCTTGCTCAAATAGGCTAGCATCTCAACACAAAAACTGAAATAGGAGAAAATTATGCTCAGTTTAAGGCTGCCAGAAGAGCTTTCACATCAAATCCAATGCAGTGGAAGAAGGGAGTGGCCCTAAATCAAGGTAGCTTATTAAATTAATAAAGTGGGCTCTAAAAATGCAGTCATCAAACATCATTGCTTCCTGGGCCTATCTGGTCATGTGAACATACTCCTGTTTTATGAAGCCACCAACTGTTATAAGAGTAACGTTTGCCATGAGGTTTGCCAGGTCTGCAGCTGGGCTTTTAAATAGGAACTTGACCTGTAGAATCAGCAGGTGAGGTTTTTCATGGTATGGAGAGTACATCAAAAAACACAGGAGCAAAGACTCTATAAAAAGTTGAAAACACTACTAATTTTACTGTGAGAAATTAATTTTACAGTATCTCTACTAATTTTACTGTACCCTGTACCTTCCACAAATTAGACCTAATTATCCATTTCCTCTGCGAGTGTAAGGACAAACACCTTACCGTTCTCCCAGATCTTTGTGCTCTAGGTCAAGATTTTTGTGCAGTGTTTTGAGACAGCTGTGCTGTTTTATCAGCATCTCATATTCTGTAGACTGCCGCTCATGCAGGGACGCGAGGTGCTCGTGGTCCTGAAGGAGGGACTCGTATTCTGCCTTGAGCTGTTCCTTCTGCTTCAGCAAGACCTCACACTCATTCTCCTTGGCCAGCTGCTGGTTTTGAAGAAGAGTGTTCTGGGCCATCAAGGAGGCACTCTGGGAATTCAGGGTTGAGTTCTCTACCTAAAGTTTTCTCAAAGACACAGGAAAATATATTGAGATGCAGGTAGATGGTTACTATCTCACATTTCAGTTTCAGATAATTATCTGAAATTCAAAAAGTAAAGACACAGTCTGTTAACAAGTTAAGGCCACACAAGACATGTATGTTTCTACGAAAATACGCCTGTTGTTTTAGCTCTTAAAGCAAAATGGTGCAATAGTCAACTTTCACTACTAGTTGAAGCATGAGGGATGGGAGCAAAACCTTCACCACCTTCCACCCCTACATTTGCTGTCTGAAGACTTTTCTGCCCAGCTGGCTCAATTCTAGTAACAGATATGAGGAGGAGTGGGTAAGTGGAATTCCTGCTGTGGTATGGGGGGTAACGGATTTTGTCCCCATCTTCCACAAGCCCCACTCAGTGATAGAACTACAGACATACACACCAGTTTCATTGGCAAACATGTGGCATACCTGGTTTGGTTCTTAAGACTGAAAATTCAGGAAGTTTTCTAAATTTTGAATAATGACTGAGCATGTATATGAAGATAATATTCAAAACATTCATAAGAGAAGTTATATGCTGATTAGTGTTTCGGCTAATGGAGAGAAACTCCTATTCCTGCCTGGTCCCATTTTCTCCTCCAAGTACCCTACATTGCACTGCTTGGTTTGATTAAGCCAATTAATTATTTTAACTCAGCTTTCTAAGTGTTTGCATGCTCAATTTTGTTTTGTTTGTGCTGGGCTGTGAGTTAAATGAAGGGAGACAGTGGTCTTTCATCACTTGAAGAAGGGTGTACTAATAGGTCTCCTATGAAATTTCCAAGGCCCCATTTCAGTTTTAAAACTGGAGGAATCCACAACAGTAGAAATATAGCTTAAAATTCAATTTTCCTGCCTGTACTTCAGCCACTGTGTAGGTTGATGAATATTCTTAATACCTAGCGTGAAAAAAAGGATTCTTGTAATATTGCAATTGCACTCTTGGATTGCATTATTTTAAAAAAAGTGCTTTCCTTATTAAACCACACCAGATGAGAAGATCAGAGTTAGAAAAAGGACTATTCCAAACCCCAGCTAAAATAAGCCACCTAAAAGGTTTCTGGTTTTTGAGCCATCTAGCAATTTTTCTGACCTGGAGCTTGGCTGTTTGTGTTTGCATTGCTGTGTTGTGCTCTTGGAGACAGGCATTTTGTTTTTGTAGTGTCAGGATCTGATTGCTGAAAGAAGTGTTCTGAATTTCCAGATGTCTTAGCTGTTCTTTAAGCAGCTGCTTCTCTGCATGCAGAGCGGCATTCTGAGAGAAACGTAATTCAAAAGTCATGAGAAAGAGAGAAAAATACCACTACATATTCTGTATGAAACTTCTCAAAGGCCAGTAGTTCATGAATGCCTTTCAAATTATAGATTTCAAACTAGCCAGTGGTGCCACGGAAAACTGGGCAGGTGTACACAGAAGAGGAGACCAACATGGCCCCATCCATTGCGCAGTAAAAGGGCAGCCATTTCCCTGCTTGCTCTCCTCCATCTCCTCCTTGATGGGGAGCCTACAGGCAGAGGCTATGCTTTATAAACTGGACAGCACTGAAAACATATTAGGCACTTGCTAATAACAGAAATAAATAAATAATAGAAATAAACAGCTATGAAATAGATGCAGACAGAAAGTAATGTCTATGATTGCTCCTTTAATACCAGCGCCTGTCCTTCATACCAATAACAAGAAAGAAAGGAACTGAGATGCCTCTCTTTTCGCCTTGGATTTGTGTTTCTCAAGCTGTGTTCTAGTGCAACTTTTTTATCCACAGGCCTGAAAATATTCACAGTATAAACTATGCTTTGTAAATATACAAGTGCCTTGCCAGATCAGTTGATGTGGAAAAGGTGTCCTGAAAGTAGGAAAAATCTGAAAGGCCCTGCCTGACTTAAATTAGAGGCCGCCCAGCCCCGCCCCAAAATGGTCCTACTCCCTGCATTTTATTAATGCAAATCCACTCCAGCTTCATCTGGGAGAAGGTATTATTCCGCAGAAGACTGATGGATACTATTGCTTTTTTAATATAAGGATGCTTTACACATTAAGCTTTTCTTGCATGGAGAAACTGTATATAGGAAAATGTATGTTTACTGAAGTGCAACCTACACAAATTTTCAGAGCTGCAGACACAGCAGCCAATGAAAAATGTGTGTCACCTAAAATGGGCAGTGCTTACATTCCTTTCCAGGTCTATAGCTCTGTCTTTCACTTTCAGAAGCTCCATCGTTGCCTCCTTATGACCCATAGCCCACTCCTCCTTCATCTGTTGATCGGAAGCTAAGCTTTCAGTGTGCTGCTTCAATGAATTCTGCATGTGTGTTCCACCATCCTGCTTCGCCTTCAGGATTTCCATGTCCTTCCTCCTCATCTGTAAATATAGGCAAAACTTTGTAAAATATGCCACAGAATACAGTTGTGCAGCCTACAGAACAAAGTCAACCTAAAACTATAAGCAGAGCCCTTTTTGGTAGATCTCAAAATCTGTGATCAAGGTCATTCATTTAGGTTAGGTGTGGGGAAATTTTTTTTTCAGGTAAAGGGCCACATCCTGCCAGGGCTATGCCAGCAGTGGGTAAAAGTGAACAATGGACTCTTCTCTCTGCAACTCCTTTTCCCTCTGTGCCACCCCACTGTCTTTCCTCCTTACCATATTTAGGTCATTCTGCAACTGCTGGTTTAACTTATGGACCTCTTGCAATTGGGCTTCCAATAAAACAATTTTCTCTTCTTTATTGGCTAGTGTGGTTTTCAGAGCACGTTCACTTTCTCTTTCCAAGATCTTATATTTCCTGTGAGGTAACAACAACATACAAATAAGTATCATTTGAGAGATTTCAGCCATTCCTCCCAAATATTAGAAAATAATTCCCATAAACATTTGCCTGCTACCAGTGTTCTATCTTTGCATCTACAAATATGCACTTATAGAGCTAGAAACACTGAATTAGGAGTAAAGGCCAGTGCAAGTCTTTCCGTCCACTTCTCCTGATGCTGCACATGCGAACTGCACACAGTTCCTGCCAGTGAGAAATATCTGTGTGTGATGCTGTTGTAAGAAACCATGCTGGTCATCTGTTGGGGAAAGCTGCAGGGAGAGATATGTGCATGCACATGCCCTGCTATGTTGCAGAAGCATTTGCACAGGTCATATATCCAACATATGCGAAAATGGTCCAGAGAAACGACCCTGATTAGACACAGGATAGAGTCAACTGAACAGGAACAATGACATAAAATGAAACATTCCTATTAGTTTCAGTGAAGCTGCAATTTCACCTTTATATCACTTTGGATGCAGACCTATCAAGTGCCCCCTTGATGCATGTATTCCTCTGCACTTGGAGGCTTGCAAGCAATCACTGCAGCATGAGAGAAGAGGCAGAGGCTATCTTCACCACCTCGCACTTTGCATTCTAGCTAGAGGTCCAGTTTTGGCTGTTAAGCTAAGTAGTTGGCAAAGGGAAAGAGGCTGAAGCACCACCCGTATACCTTGTGACTTCAATCTTCTCCCCTCACATCAAACCTCCCCATTTATCCCCTCTCAACTGTCCATCCTTGGAGAAGCAGGCAGTGTGTGCATGTAGGGGAAAACAGACTGCAGGTGGATCCTCAACTTTGAGGTCAGAGCCCTGTTTTTGAAGTGTTTTACTATGGTCTCTTGGATGCTGACTCGGGGGCCATAGGATTGGTCATTACAGCTTGCAAGATGTCACTATTGCCAACTTTGTGCAGCATCTCTAGGTTTGGTAGGGGACTTTCTTTTGCCTACATAAGGAAGAAACAACCATCTGGCAATTCAGTTCATTTAGCACAAGCACCAGTGGCCCCTGAAAAGTATTACCAAATTTACAAACTCTTTGACAAGAGTATCAAGAACCTAGAGGGAAAATGTCACAAGATTAAGTAAAAAGATACAGGAATTCGGGCCCCTCCATCAGAACAAGGCTAGCTTCTTACCTGTCATCACTGCTACTATCGTCTTGAAGGAGCAGCTCCTTATTCAAGCCAATCTTTTCCAGTTCTCGGTTCAACTCGTCCATCTCACAAGACAACCTCTGATTCTTTAACTTCTCAAAAACCAAATCCTACAAGCAGGAGAGTGTAGTAAGCAAGCAAAGCAGTTGGAGCAATAATTACACAAGGCTTTTCAACAGAACAATGCTAGATTTTAGAAGGCCCTCAGGACCACTTTATACAATTCACCTTACTCTGCCCTGAGGCTTTTGCGAAGCCACCCCGAGGCTTTTACGAATGGGGCGGCATATAAGTGTTCCAAATAAATAAATACTCAGGCATCATTGCTGGGCAGAAAAGCTCTGTGAGCACCATGAGAACAATGCGAACATAAGACAAATGCACAGAACTTATTTTGCTGTCTGAAGACACAGCAATCAAAATACTGGTATTTGTCAACATCATTGTGAACATCAAGTTTCCTGGCCACCAAACAGGTTTTGTTTGTGATGAAATTCAACCTGTGTGAGCAACCCTTGCTCTTCAAGATACCTGCTAAGCTAAGAGACCTAGCTGTGAGCCTTGTCATTCCCTGGATCAGAAGCGGTCTGGGAACCCTGTGCGTGCTGCTTTGAGTTCCATGGAAGAAAAGTGGAACACAAAATTGAGTACGTATACTTGTTACCAAGTACTCAGCTCCACAGCTGCATTCTTGTGCATTCTTGTGAGCCGTCCTGAGATGCCAAGGCATAAGGGGCAGCATACAAAAGTTTTAAATAAATAAATTCGCATGAAATCTTTCTGTGAATCTGGATAAGATAGGATAGTTCCATAAACACTTTACTCAAACATCTTGCTACAGAATATTTCTCCATTTAAAAAACTGAAGAAGGGTATCAGTTTTGCATTGGATGAAAAATGGGCCATATTCAGATTACCATTATCTGAATTATTAAGCTCAGATGTGCTTCAGGCTTTTGCCCAAATATATAGTCCCTTCAAGGGAAAGGTTGGGCTAGGAAAAATTTGATTAATTATTTAACATTCAAAATTAGTCAACAAATTAACAGTAGTTGACAAAAATAGTTAATAAAACTTTAGATAATTAGAGGCATCCTGGTTTAATTATGCAAACGGCTCTGTGCACGGCCAGAAGTCTTGTGCATCTCTCGGCTTAAACAACTGAGATCTGATTTTCTGACATGTCCCTTAATATGTGAATAGGACTTTGTTGACTATCTCCTGCTTTGTTCTTCTGTGTGCTTGAAACTATGAATAGCTTGTGAAATATGACCCTGATCTCTATGTGGGTCACAAATGATGAGAAGATTGTTAATAGTGCAAATGGCCAAAGGCTTGTAAGAAACACAACAGAACATGGGCAAGACTCCATTTGCAATCTTATTCTGTGACAATGGTGAGGGCAAAGGAATCCTACTTCTCCCCAGCACAGCATCCACTCAGTGTTATCCAGCAGTTCTTTCACTTGCTCAAAGGCCCTCTGGGTATATGTATGTTTTACAACTCAGCAGCTCAAAACTTCAAAGGCCAGTTGTGAGCAATTTGCCAGACATTTTGCTGATGAAGTGGCTTGTAGTTGGGCCAAGTAGGATGCTGTTGTTTTGAGAGAGACTTAACTAGACAGGGCATGTTCACCACCTAATTCAAATTATAGGTACCATTTATAGTAAGTAATGGTGAGCTACTCAGGTTTGGAAAAAGAAAAAAAAAAAAAACAGTTGTGAGGCCAATGTGGAAGAAACTAAACTAGGCCTTATCTTACAGCTTCAGATAACTACTCCCCCTATGAAATTTACCATTCATGACCACGTGATGCCTTCATAACTCCAAGGGATGCTGCATGATACCAATGATTTGGATCCATTCCAACCAGGTTTTAGGCCTGGTTATGGGACACGATTCACCTTGTTCACCTTTATGTATGTCTTACAGCAGGGAATGGATTGGGGGAAGGCCAGACAGTTGGTTCTTTTAGACTTGATGTAAGCCGCCCTGAGAATTGATGTAAGCCGCCCCGAGGCTGTGGCGAATGGGGCGGCATAAAAATGTTTAAATAAATAAAATAGACTTCTCTGTGGCTTTTGATACATCTGCCTGCAGCATCCTTCTAAATCCAATCTGGATTGGGCTTGGGAGGCACAATTTTAAAGTGGTCCCTTTCTGGAGAAGTAAACTCATAAGGTGGTACTGGAACACTTTTGTTTCACCAGATGACTGTTACCCAGCAGGTGTCACAAAGTTCCATTCTGTCCTCTGTGTTTTTTAACACCTACATGAAAGTGCCTGAGGAAGTTATCAGTACGCAGGTAATACAGAACTCTACCTCTTATTTTCATCTACACATCCCATGGAGGCTCATGAACCAGTAATCCATACAAGAGAGAGGCACTATGAATGGAAAAAAACTACAATGGATGCAAGTTTACAACTGGTCTTAGATGCAGTTGTACTTCCTGCAAAAAGATCAAGTAAGTAGTTTGGGAGCCCTTCTGGACTTTGTGCTAGTTGGGGAAGCCCAGATGACTGCTGTGTCCAGGAATACATTTTTCCAGCTTTGGGTGATATACCAGCTACAGCCAACTCCGAAAAGGATGAGGCTTGCCCCAGTGATCCATGCACCAGTGACACCCTAGCAGTACCGCTGAAATGCACTGTGTGTGCGGCTGCCCTTAAAGACAATTCAGAATCTTTGGCTGATGCACAACACAACAACCCAAGTATTGGGGAGTGCATGTATTTTATCAGCTGCACTGGTTACCAGTGTGTCTCCAAGTCCAACTGAAACAGATGGTGTTGACCTTTCAAAACTTTTTGGGACAAAATTATTGGAAGGACCATCTTCACCCATATCAGCCTGCCCACACTTCAAGATTAGCAAGGGAGACCTTTCCCATTTGCCCACTAATCAGAGCAGTCAGCAGTTAATCCCACATGCCAAGGTCTCCTGGGGTTATTGTTCTTATTGCTGGTTTTGTTGTTGGTTTTAGTGCCTTTCTTCTTGCTTTCATTTTGCTTCATCATTCTTAATAACATACTGGCTATATGGGATTGACTTCTGCACACTGCCTTGCAAGTGCTTCTACCCTGAAAGGCAGCCAAGAAATATTTTAAGTAAACAACAGAAAATAAAGGCAGCGGCTTTCAAATGAATATTCAGTTCCACGATTATGGGCCCCAGAGGAGTGTACCTACCACTCAAAGTTTCATGAAAATTCGGCCATTCTTTCTAGGCTGCAACAAAATGTTATACTCCAAATTGCCACACAGTGGCCCCATAATTCTTGATTGAGATTAGATACACAATGCTCTCTATATTCTAGATGCTGAAATGCACATGCACTAACATTATTGTCGTTACCTCTCTCAATGTTGCTAGTGTTTTCTTATCAATGGTAACTTGCTTTAGAAGGTCTTTATTATCCTTTTCAAATTCTTTCATCTTACTGGATGAGTCTCTGAATCTAGCAAGTTCTCTTTCTAGTGATTTGTTTTCCTTCACCATTGCAGCCAGCTTTGCAGCATTCTCATCCAAGCTGACCTCTTTTAGCTCCACCTGGTGCCAAAGCCTTTTTGTCTCCTTCTCTAGCATTTTCTTGTCTTTATCCAACTGGGACATTTCTTGCTCTAACAATTTCTTCTCCTTTTCCAGCCATTCCATTTGCTTATTCGAAACCCGCAGCTCCTCTAATTTCCTCTGAAGAGTGTGATTTTCAGTTCCAACCCCCTGGAGTTCTTTCTCCAGCTGCTGGATTTTCCTGCTGCTGTTTTCTAGAATCTGCTCAAGTCTTTGGTTTTCAGCATTCATACTCTGGTAACCCAGCTCCAACCTTTCTGATTTCTTAATCAGAACTTTGAACACCTCTACGTTTTTCTTAAGCTCCTCTTTTTCTCTTTCTAGCTCTTTGTTTTCAGCCTCAATCTGGGCAATTTTTGTGCTGGTAAAACGCATAGTTTCTACCATTTTCCTAAGCTCCAGGTTCTCTTCATCTAGTACTTTGTTGTCCTTCTCCAAGCTTTCCAGACGGACAGAAACATTGTGCAAGGTATCTAGGGATTTCTTCAGCTTCTTATTCTCTGCTTCAAGGTCCCCATTTTCTTGCTCAAGAACTTCTACTTTTTCTGTGGTAATTTTCATAGCTGCAACTTTCTTTGTAAGCTGCTCATTTTCTTTCTCCAGTCGATGAAGCTCTTTGTCCATTTCTTCTACCCTTTCCACTTTCTCTTTAACTTGCTCAAAATCCTTCTGCAATTGTTTCTTCTCAAACTCCAACCTGCTGAGCTTGTTACTGGTTTCTGTAACTGCTTCATGGAGTATTTTGTTTTCCACTTCAATGTCTTTCTCTCTGGCTTCACTACTGACCTGAGACCTCTGCCTCAGAGACAGAACCACTTGACTGAGATGGTCTGTTTCTTTTTCCAGGTCTTTTATCTATAGTCCAGAATAAAAACAAGATAATTCATTAAATATCAGAATGCTGCAAGCATTCTGGCATATTCAAAATAATGTAAAGCAAAATCTGGCATATTTCATATAATGTTAAGCAACCAGTTCATATAAAGAACACAGGCGGTTGCATTATAACAAGATATACGCAACCATATTGTGGCTGGGTGAATAACCCTTTTGCTCTCTTCTCTGTAATCTCATAGAAACATAGAAACAGAGCAAGTCAGAAGGGTCCTCCTGAGCCATCTAGTCTGACCCCTAGCTCCAGCTGGCTCCACTCACGACATGCCCACCATGTGCATGTCCAGCCTATCCTTGAACACCCTCACCGATGGGGCTTCAACCACCTGTGGAAGTCCATTCCATACTCTTGGGGTCCTAACTGTCAAGAAGTAATTCCCAGGATCAAAACTAAACCTTGGTTCCCTGAGCTTTACTCCACTGGAATGCATCCCACCCTCCTAGAGGAAAACAGGTCTCTACTCACCTCCATGTGGTACCCCCTCACATACCTGTATGTTGCCAACAGATCCCATCGGAGTCTCCTCTTCTCCAGGCTGAAATGACCCAGTTCCCTCAGTCTCGCCTCATATTGCTTTCCCTGCAATCTGGTCACCATCCTTGTGGCCCTACGCTGCACTGACTCTAACCTGGCTATATCCTTTCTGTAATATGGAGCCCAGAACTGAACACAGTACTCCAGTTGCAGGCGCACCAGAATCATATAGAGAGGCAGTAATATATCTCTTGATCTAGAAGCCATGCTTCTGGCTATGCATCCCAGGGTGGCATTTGCCCTCTTGACTGCCACATCACACTGCTGACTCATGTTTTAGCCTGCAGTCAACCAGTACCCTGATATCCCTTTCACAAATGCTGCCCTCCAGCCCCTTGTCCCTTAACCCGTACTATGCACCAAGTGCAAGACCTTGCACTTATCCACACTGAACACCATCCTGTTGTCCCTTGTCCACTTCCATAGTCTGCCCAGATCTTTCTGGATCTCAAGTACCTGCTCCTCAGTTGTGGCCATCGACCCCATTTTAGTATCATCTGCGAATCTGGTCACCAGACTGGTTTTCCCTCTTCCAGGTGATTGATGAAAAGATTGAACAGGATCGGTCCCAGGACAGAGCCCTGGGGGACCCCATTTGTCACTGCCTGCCATCCTGATGATTCCCCACTAATGGTTACCCTCTGCTTTTGGTCTGTCAAACATGCCCTAATCCATCAAACAGTGCATCGCTCTATCCCAAAACTCCTCAGTTTCTCAACCAGGATATCATGGGGCACATTGTCAAAGGCCTTGCTGAAATCATCCATTGTGTCCCCTCTGTCTAGCCACCTTGAAACTTTGTCATAGAATTATGTAATGTTTGCCTAGCAGGACCTGTTCTTGTGGAAGCCATGCTGTGTGGCTGCCAACCTCGGAGCCTTTCCATTGTCTTTCCTAAAATGGACCCAAGACTAACCAGTCTGTAATTCCCCATGTCCCCTCTACTACCCTTTCTGAAAATTAGAACCACTTACACCACCCTCTGGTCCTCTGGAACCTCACCTGTTCTCCCCAAGGCCTCAAAAATGTAGGCCAAAGGGCGCAAGAGTACCCCCACCAACTCCCAAAGTACCCTCACTGATAGGTTTATCAGTAATCCTTTTTACGCCCAGTGCCCTGAGGAGCTCCTCAGCTTCTAATGGGGGTGACTCTAATCTGTGTCCCTAAAACCTGGCCTCATCCTCTCCCCCACGTGTACCTCCCCCATCCAGCTTTGGAAAGAACACAGAGGCAAAATAATCATTTAGCATCTGTGCCTGTTCCCTCACCAAATCCCCTTCCTCCTTACTAAGCAGTCCCACTGCCCGTCTCCCCTTCCTCTTGCTATTTACATGCTGATAGAAGTCTCAGCTCACAATCAACCTTAGCCTTGTGAAGAATCCTTCTGTAATGGGCTCCTCCTCCTGGTACACCCTTTTGTACACCCAACTTGCCCCAGTGCCCATTTCCTATGTAGGTTCCTCTTACGTGAAATCCCTCTTACCACCCCTTTTCATATCCACAGCAGTGCTCTCCTTTGCTTCCCTGCCTTGCTTTCTAGTGGTGTCATCAAGGCTTGCTCCTTTAAGTGCCATCCACCCCTCCTCAATTCCCTTGCCTTCCTCTCCCAGGGGACTTTCCACACTCTGGCCTTCAATTGACCAAAGCTGGCTCTTGTGAAGCCCCAGCTTCTAGTACTCAACCTACTGCTTGTCCCCCTTCCCTTGATCTCAAAGTAAATTATAGAGTGATCATTCGCATCCAGAGCTCCCTTAATCTGCACCCCATCTAGCAGCTCTTCCCTGTTGGTCAAGACCAAGTCAAAGATATTTCCTTCCCTCGCTGCCTCCTGGACCCTCTGCATGAAAACCCTCCCTCTATAGAGCCTAGGAAGTGATGTAACCTAGCCATCAATTCCAAGTCAGTCTCCCAGCTAATATCTGGGACACTGAAATCTCCCATAATTACCATGTCCCTCCCCTGAGAAATCCTTTGAATCTGGCCTGTCAGGGCATCGTCCAGGGTCTCAAGTTGACTTGGAGGGTAATAACATACCCCCACTGTCAGGTATCTCTCCCTGATGATACCCTTAGTTTTACCCAGACCACCTCAACCAGATCCCCATCTGCGCCACCTTCTATCTCTTTGCAACCTATCCCTTCCCTGACATATAGTGCTATGCACTCTCCCCTCTTTCCCTTCCTGTCCTCTTCTAAACAGGTGATACCCCACTATGTTTACATTCCAGTCTTGCCTTTCATCCCACCAAGTTTCTGTGATCCCCACCAGGTCATACCCTCCTATTCCCAGGAGAGCCTCAAGTTCTTCCTGCTTATTACCCATGTTCCTAGCATTGGTATACATGCATCCTGTTGCACTATGGGACACATAGTATCACTTGGTACCCAGGATGTATACGAATCTGATAAGGGCTGAAAATCTAACAGATTTTCATGATTTGGCCCTCTGGATTCTAGGCTAGTACCCTTTGCTGGCACTGACTCACTATGGTGTAAGTTAAGCTAGCTTCTGGACTTCTGTTGTGTGGTCTGACCATGATTTCAACATTATTTTTTTTTTTAGCTTTTAATGAGTTTTGCACTTTTAGGCTCTAGCCCTATTCATGCGAAATAGTAACCATCAAGAGGTGAGATGCATCATCTTTGCTCTAAACTGGTTAAGTAAAAGACAACAGAAAGCCAGGAAGCCAGTCCCCGGGGACACTGAAAAGATTTACATGGATAGACATCAACTGGTGATTTGATCAGTCCTTGAATTAACTTTCTAGCAGCAGCAACTTCTCATGCCCTTTGCCAAATGTAAGGCAACAAGTCTTTCTCAGTAGCCAACCAAACATGTCCCTGGGATTACATGTGCAAGGACTGTATCTGTACCTGTCTCTCTTTGCTGGCCTTCAAGGTCTCCATCATCCCCTGAAGCTCTTCCTTCTCTTTGAGAAGCTCCTCACTTAAAGACTCCAAGTCTTGGTTACTTTGCTTCTCTTTTTCAATCTGGTTCTGCAGCTTCTCAATCTACACAGAGAAAATCATCACAAGGTATCACAAGCAATCCTGCAACAACCATCACTCACATATAAGGGCACAATGAGAAAGTCAGTGTTTTAAATTTGCCCATTCACTGATACTTCTACCAGAATATTACAATGCAGAAATATCAAGTCATAAAAACAGAAAAGTTTTGGCTTTTACCGTCTTCAGCTGCTTTGATGTGAATTAAAAACTACTGTAGCTGATGCGACATTTAAAGAACAACAAGGAACATTCCGAACTGTGGTATTTGCAGTAAATTGCTTGTGTCAAGTATTGCCTTCTGGGATCCAGAACAAATCTGTCATAGGACCATTACACATGACACAAGGTTGACTAATAAGCCATGGAGGCTTATTAAGCCATACTACATGTGTCAGTTATGTGCAGCCAATTTGCATAATTATGCTCACCTGGGGCAGCTTTTTGTGTCATACAAACCCAGTGAGGGTGGCTAGCTGGCGTGGTTAATGAACAGCCTGTTATAGGATTGTGGGGTGGTTTGTTACCCCAGCATATTAACCTCATGGATTTTGGAAAATACAAAAAGCAACCCAGGAGCTTAAATTGTCAACCTGGCATTACAACTCAGTCTGGCTTAAGTAACTCACAGTGGGTCATGGCGACTGTGCAAGCAAAGCCACTTGAGTCATTTTTCTCAGACTTCAACATCAGGAAGTATTCTAAATGAGCTAATTCTATGTTTTTACTAAGACAAGCGCTCATTTACTTTCTACCCCTCCAATGACTTTTTGACAAGAAAAATAATCTTTTAACTAACACTTTCCATCCTAAGATAACCTAGGCAGCATTTTTTCCAATACTTATTGTTCCTTTTTCAACAAGGCATGGGAAGAGATATAGAAGAAAAAATTACCACATTTTTGACACCAATCTTCCTCCACTTCACATCACCAATGTGACATAACACCACCTGCTACTCACGGCTTAGAAATGGACTCTATCTATCTATCTATCTATCTATCTATCTATCTATCTAGGGAACTTCTATGCCGCCCCATTCGCCGAAGCCTTGGGGCGGCTCACAAACATAAATAAATAACATCGTATAAGACAATATAAATTAAGTCGCCCTGGCCAAAGAATAAACTAAATAAATAATATTAACAATTAAAATAATGTTTGAATTAAAAGGTCTTTGCCTGGCGCCAAAAAACAACTAACGACGGCGCCAGGCAGACTTCTCTGGGGAGCGCATTCCATAGATTGGGTGCCACCGCAGAGAAAGCCCTCCTCCGAGTACTTACCCTCCTAATTTCCTTCACGGAGGGTTCCCAGAGAAGGGCCTCTCCCACTGATCTCAAGGGGCGGGTGGGCATCTATGGACGTAAGCGCTCCTTCAGGTAACCAGGACTCTATTATGTTCCCCTTCCATTTTAGATGATATTTATAAGGAACACAACATCCTGAATATGTTTTGTATTATTTGTCAACATCATACCAGTCTTTAGGATTCAATAAATGAAATAATTAATTTCCGTATGATTATTTATGGAAAAGGCTTGTGGCTGCAAAATTCAAGCATTAAAAACATAATAGTTGCCACTATTTGGTATAATAAGCCAAGTTTCTGGCTAAGTTGCCAATTTAGAAGCTATTGTGTCTCTAATGAAGGAGACTATAGTCCACAAAAGCTTAGGCAGAATAAGCATGTTAGTCCTTAAGGTGCCACAAGACTCCTTGTATTTTCTATTTTGCAGACTTTGAAACTGAAGTTTATACATATCCACTCAACAGCCTGTTTCAAAAGTTAAGAGTTTTATGTCCACAAGATGGCAGCAGACTGTGGCTCACATGCTTCCCTCTCTTTAACATGGCCATGAGGGCCAGTTTGGAAGCAGCTAACCATGGAACCATTTGAAAGCATTAACCATGGTTTATAATCCTGGCTTGTTCAATGAGCACAGATTAAACTATGCACAGCTCCCCTGAGTTTGGACTTTCCTGATTTCTTTTTTGCAGCTCTGCTCACAGCTTAGGCACATCAGGCCAAACTGTCAGTGTTGTGTCCTAAAACTCTATTACTAATAAAAAAGAATTGTTTGTGCTGTGATGAAAAAGCCAAAGTCTTTTGTAATGCTGCACTGCTTTACAGTTACTTCAGAATGATGCACCCACATTATTGCAGTCTTCTAAACACTGCAGCAGAGACCTACCTTCAAGTATGAACCTTCTCTCCAGGACTGAAGAAATCAGGATGCAAAAAAACAAACAACCCCCCAAACAACATATTTCTATTACATAATCCAGCACCCTCATTAACTATATGCAAGAAGAAATTCAAACAATCGGTGATCTTACCAAATTCAGCGACCATACTAGATCAACTTGTATGCTGAATCTTGGTCAGCGGAATGGAATACATCACTGGCCAAGAACTTTTATTTTTAACAGCTGTTCTTCAGCTGGCCTTACACTTGTAAGCAGCTGGCATTTTATTTCAGCTTCCTCATACTTGCATATCCTTCTTTTCACTACCCCAGCATCTTCCAACACTTAGTCACAATTCCAGAATTCTTGGAATATGATTCCATTTCCAAAAGGGGGAACAAAAGATAGCAGTGAGTCATGGCAGACCCAAATGATCTGAGACCCAAAGAGCACTTACTATTTTATGAAGGGTGAAATGGAACAAGCAGAGGAGCATGTTCTGCTGTTCAAATTCTTACACTGCTGAATACTCTAACCCTAACCCAAATTAAACCCAAAAATAAATATATATGGAGACAATCAACTCCAAGGTAAGCACTAGATAAAAATTAGACAAAATAGAACTTGCAGGTTTCTGACACTCATATAAAACATGTTCAGAACTAAGCCTAGTATATATAAAATGTTAAGAACTACTGTCCACTTAGCACAGTCAGGGAATTAGCAGATTGCAATTACACACACAATAACAAAACCTGAGGGCACGGTGGAATTTAAAAATTTCACTTGAATTTATAACACTGACCAGAAGCAAAGTTCTAAAGGAATGCTGTTTAAAAGATTATGCCTAGCTCAACTGACTTATGCCTAGCTCAACTGACATCCTATTAATTACCTTTTGGCCAAGCTGTTGATTCTCATTTTGCAGTTCCACAAATTTAAGGTTATTCTCTTCAGTGGTGACAGATGCATCCCTGAGCTCCTGGATGATATTTTGCAGGCTCTGGTTATCCTTTTCAAGCTTCAAGATTCGACTTGATGCACATTCATTCAGTTCGAAGACAAAAGACTTCCTTGCTGTTGAAATGCAACATTCAGAATACCCAGATGTATTATATTGTAAAGTTGGATGCACTTCCAGGATTATAAAGGTACTTTTTTTTAATAACGGTGTTTCCCTCCTTTCCCTCTAAATTCAAGAAGCTGTTTTAGAGCCAAATTGGTGTCTGGTGAAGCAACTGACACTTAATCAAGACAAGATAGTGGTGCAAATGCAAATCGAAGAATAGTGTCTCAACTCTGTGCTGGATGGTGTTACAATCCCACCAAAGGTTCAAGTTCACAGATGTAGTTTGGACTCAGACTTGAACCCAGATGCCTAAGTCTTAGCAGTAGCCAGAAGTGTGCATGCAGAGCTGATGCTAACAAGCCAGCCATGGCCATTCTTAGAGGGGTCTGTTCTGGCTACTATCACACATGCCTTAGTTATATCTCATTTGGATTACTGTAACATACAAAGCTGCCTTTTGAAAACTGTTCAAAAACTTCAGGTGCTCCAGAATGTTGCAGCCAGACTATTGACTAGACCTAGTTTCATAAAGTACGTTCCCCCCTTTTTACTAACTTCACTGGCAACCAGTCTCCTTCTGGACACAAGAAAAACAGGGTTTCCCTGAAAACTATTATTTGGAGCAAGTTTCAAATTGGACACCAGTCAAGCTTAATATTCGTGCCAACAACCTTGGGAAGGTCCTTACCAAGGCAAAATCACAATTTGCTAACTTTGGTAAGCAGGACGTCAACCTTACATATTAATCAGTCCACACAGTTAAAAGTTAGTCTGCACTCTGGGTATAAATGGTTTCCTTATTTAAATTTGAGCTATTTTTAAATATTATGATTTATAAGTAGAATAGATGTTTTGCATTGGGTGTTTCTGTTAGGCCATTATCCAAAGGAGATCCATCATTCAGAGAATTATTGCAGCTGCATCTGTTAATTAACTAGTCACTACTTCTGCCAGCAGCAAGATGTGTCACTGCAAGTACCTGCAAGTTGAGCTTCAACAAGAACTTCTAAGCAAAGAGCCCAAAATATTTGGGGCTTCAAGGCAAGATCAAATTTATGTTCCATCCTAGCTAGCAAAGTAGTAATAAGCAATATAATTGGCAATTTGCTGCACTTTAACAGAAGCCCAAACCTGCTCCCTGGGTATTGCTGCTTCACCATGGACAAGTTTTAAAAAAAAAACTGGAAAAGGAAAATAGAAGGTACATCTGATCAAGTCTAGACAAAAACTGACTTCCAAACTTACCAGGTTTAGTACTTACATGCATCTTTTATTTGTGTTATTAATCCAGAATTAAAATATAATAGTCAAGTGATAGCTTTTTAAGAGTGGCAAACCCCTCCATGTTACTCACTATCTGACAGATCTGTGCTCTTTGATAGCTGCTCCAGTTCCCTGCCCAGGTGTACAGACTCATTCATGCTTTGCTTCTGAGCAATCTCCAGCACCATATTCTCTTCCAGCAACTCTTCGATTCTCTTTTTGTCCGTATCCCTGTCCTAATATAAGAAGGGGCATACACGAAGGCACAGATGGCTTACTAATAGGAAGAGTCTATTTGGATCTTTAACTATTACACCAATAAAAGGCACTAGTATTATAGGCAATGGTGGCCAATGTTTTCAAATGTTGTAGATGGGGAGCAAGAATGTATTTACCCCCAGTGTCTAGTATTCATGGGTTACTGCTTCTGAAAAAGAGTAGAAAATAATACTGGTGTACAGAATTATGCATGGTGTGGAAAAGGGGAATAAGGAAATATTTTCCCTTTCATAATTCTAGAACTTGGATCATCTCAAAGTTGATTGGCCACCAGTGTTGATGGCTTAAAAGTTGATAAGACAAATTCATGGAATATAAGCCTATCAGTGGCTACTAGCCCTGATGACTATATGCTACCTCCAATATAAGAGACAGTATGCCCATAAAAATCAGTTGCTGAGAATCAGCTGGGTGGGAGGATGCTATTGTATTTATATCTTACTTGTGGCTGGCCATTATGTGAAAAGAATGCTGGATTAGATGGAACTTGTTCTGATCCAGCATGATTCTTATGTTCTTGTGGGTGTGGAGGTTCCATAGAGGCATCGTTACAACATATAGCCATCTGACAGATCCCTCATGAACTGCTTCCCTCTTCACTGGAAGTCCACATTGTTGCTTGAACCAGACCTCTTCTTAGATACAGATACAGAACTCCTTGCAGATCAAGATAAGATTATGCTTTGGATGTACGGAACACTCCACTAGCCTTTACGTGCTTAAGTTGTGTCACTGTAAGATCTAAGCAGATGCATAGAGCTTTGGCTACAGGTGGTATAGAAATGCAATTAGCAATAATATTATATTTTTGCACTGCTTTTGCACATGCATCACTTCCACCAACTTTGCATCTATTCATTTTGAGTTTTTATACAATATTTGCAGCATGGTAAAAATAGAAAACATGCAAGAGGCATATGTTTAACAAGAATTTATTTCACTGAAGAATGACATGGAATTGTTTGACTTTTGTTTATAGGGTCAGGTGCACAGCATAATACTGGTGTCCCTTGTTCTCCTAATTAATGTTATTTCTGTCATAAAGTTCACAGTGTCAGGCATATTGAAAAAACGTTTTGGCCAAGCCCAATATATTGTGTATAAAAGATTTTTTTTC